GTTCCACCTGCCTCTGCGCCAACATGACACTCCTACGCACAGTCCGTTGCGTAGCGGGAGACGGTGGTTGTTCGCTCGTCGCAAAGTCTCGAATTCGTTGAATGTGTTTTTTTGGTATCGAGGCAAGTGTAGGATGAGGGGTGGGGTTCGAAAAATAAAGTTCGTAAACCATGGAGATATCCTCCTTCACGGTCACAGAAGTTGAAATATCTTGGATGGACTCGTCTTCGTCACCAGAGGAGCTCGAGTCCACAGACTCTAGCGGATTCTTGAAGCTTTCGACGGTCAGCCAAAATTGAACAAGCAAGGACCGATGACGGCGGTCCATAAACTCCATGAAGTATGAGAGAGAACTGGGGTTCTGCAGGACATCACGCAAAGTCAAGCCGGACTTCGGGCCTGCTTCTTGGTAAGACGAGTGTCGTCCCTTTGAGAAATGTAAACAGTAATTATTGAGAAGCAGCACAGTCTCTTACCGAATCATCTCCTCCGCCGAGAACCACAATCCTTTCCTCGACCTTTCTCTTGGCGGTGTAGAGTCTATCCAAGAAAGCCACGACGTCTTCAGTTTTTTCTCCGTTGATCCAGTCCTCTTTTTCATGATTGGCTGTTTGTGGTCAGGGAGTGGACTGTCTAAGAAAACCTAGAATTACCCACCAAGAGATATTCGAGTCCTTCGGATCTCGCCTACGACATCATTCTTCAGCCGACGGGCGTCCAGGAGCGATGAACAACGGTTTATGCTGCGGAGGAAGGACTCAAACTGACGAGCATCGGTCCGGATTGTTATAGTCTCGGTGGTAGGCAGCGCAGTGACGGGCGCGGACGATAGACGATGGGTTCGAGGTGACTGAGCCTCGAGAACATTTCGTACTTTCGTGATAAGTTTCCTGCACACCAGTTGGATTTGTTAGGCACCCCAAGCGGAATAACGCACTGTTCATGGATAGCGGCACCAGCCTGCATGGGGTGATCAGATTGTTAAATTGACGTCGTGTGCTTGATTACGCACCACTTGGTCGATTGCCTTGTTCCAAAAGTCGGGGTCCGACACCATTTCCATAACTGGGTATAACACGGCGCACGCGACAATCTCCCGCACAACCAACTTCAAAACCCTACTCTTGCCCTCTTTCTCGGGTAAGACGAATGGAAGCGCCTTTTCCACCAGCTGCCTGAGATGCGCCTCTTCCGCTTGTTTGGTAAAAGTAGTAGACAGGTTGTCCACCGAAGGATGCAATTTGCCGCCGCTTGTGTATCGACTTGCCAGGAGAAGGTCGAGCTCCTCTGACTGGGTCAACCGCCGCTCCAGACCTGCGCCGCGGAGGGCGACCTCTGACTGGCGAAATTGCTCGATATGTGCAGTGACCTTGGGGAGGATGCGCTTGACAACGAGCTCTGATAAATCAATTCCAGTGGCTCGATCAAGTATATTCTCGAGCGACTTGTGCAGAACCCCCGAGACCGCCATGGGGAACGACGGAGACGTAGACAGGTCCTTGTACCATACGAGAACAAAGTCGCGGACGATCATGATGAGGATTTCATTTATTGCACCTGAAAGAACAGGCGCATTGGGGACCAGGGGCGGAAAGGACTGGGGGCTGTCCTGGGACCACTGGGAGCGCGTCAGGACGGCCTGCCAAGCCGCGGGGCTTGAAAACACAAACGGCCTGGCCGCATAGTGGAGGTTGTTCCTCGCCGAGGGTGCTTTGGCATCGAGGAGATGGCTTACGAGGACGTTCAAGACCAGGAACGCTACACCAAGCAAGCCAACGACGAAGGGGGAGATGAGAAGGAGGGTGAAGGGATTCGAGACGATGCGGAATATTGCAGGGAGTACGACGGCGAGAATAGCGACAAAGACAACCGTCTGCGCGCTAAATGTGGTGTTCATCGGCGACCCATGCGCATCAGTCCAAGTCCCAATAAGGAAGTCACCGATCGTGTCCGACTGTCCGAACCCAGTCCTTATTCATTCTCTCTTGCCTCTTGCCTCGACCACGCAGGATAATGGCCTCCCCGGAACCGGTCAAGGGCCGTCCCATTTCGACCGCGGAGGGCTTCGTCTGTGGCGGCATTGCAGCATCTACCGCTGCAAGTAGTTTTTTGCGGCCGCCTTCAATCGACCACTGACAAAAATCCAGGTCACCGTATCTAATCCTGCCGAAGTTGCCAAGACACGTTTGCAGCTGCAGGGCGAGCTTGCAAAGGCGGGCACAGAAAAGGTGTACAAAAACGCGTTTGATGTGATTGGCAAGACATACAAGAATGAGGGTATCCGAGGGATGCAGAGAGGTCTCGGTCCTGCGGCACGTCGACCCGTTTTCGTGTCCCGTCGTTCGCTGACCCGGCCCTCAGTACGCATACCAAGTATGTCTTTTGTGATTTCTTTCGGGGGAATATTTGGTAACCATCCCTCCAGATATTGTTGAACGGCTCACGACTCGGTATTACCAAAAAATGTATCTCTATCCTATTTTTGCCCACTTTTTGTTCAGGATTTTACGAACCGTTTCGGCGAAACATCAACAAATTTATCGGCCGAAGGCCCGATGAACAGCTGGGTGCGACTGCAGTCGTTGCAGGGGCGACGAGCGGCGCTGTTGGAGGTTAGCACCACATCGGATAAATCTGCGTAACCTGAATGTAAATCGGCAGCCGCCCTGGGCAACCCGCTTTTCCTGATCAAGGCCCGAATGCAAGCATACTCTCCCGCTCTCCCCGTCGGTGCCCAGCATTATTACAAGAATTCTTTCCATGCGCTCTCCACCATATTTCGCGCCGAAGGAGTGCGCGGCCTCGTCCGCGGCATAGATGCCGCAATCCTACGAACGTCCATGGGCTCGTCGGTGCGTGTTTTTGTGTTCGTCCATGCTCATTTCGCGTTTTTGTGGTCTGTTTTGTCCATGCTCATTTCGCATAGGTACAATTGCCGAGCTACAACCTCACCAAAAACTTTTTGGTGAGCCGCGACATACTTCCGGCTAACAGCACATGGACATTTCTGGCGAGCAGCGCCGTTTCCGGCGTGTGCGTTGTACGTGACTTTTCTTTTTCCGATACTACCCTGTGCTTGAACATTTCCAGTGTCTGATGATGCAACCTGCGGACACTGTGGGTCTGCATAGTTCCTCTCAAACTCAGTTCATTTAGTTCTTCAGGCATTAACACGGATGTATAATCAACCAACCGTTCTCGGGCCGAACGGTAAGCTGGTGGGCACCTTATACAAGAACCCAATAGATTGTTTGTGGAAGACGGCCCAGACTGAGGGCGTACGGGGATGGTATAAAGGCAGGTTCCGCGCCTTTTTACCAACCTTGCTCTAATTTCAAGATAGGATCGACGGCGCACTTTTTGCGAATCGCACCACACACGTCCGTTCTTTTACTTTTCTTTTTGATTCACTGCTGATCGGTCTTTAGTATTATAACGTTAACCGCTAATGACCTGATCATTAATCTATACAAGAGGATACGGGATAATGACAACTAGTTTGTTTCTACATGTGAAATAGATGGGTTCTTGGACAAGTTGTTCGCGTTCATCAACGGAACAGGAAACTGAGACGTCCCGCGGCCGGCTTCTACTTCTCAACGAGACGACTCTCGAATCAAATGTCTTGAACAGCGGAATTAGGCGTCTCGACTTTTCTCGAATGGCAAGTCTCATGGTGTTCAATCACCGACATCAAATGTGTGCCATTGGACGTGCTGACTTCTCGAGCCTTTGAGTAGTTTAGCCGAAACGTTGTCTACGCACCACGACCTATGCAGTTTGAAATATGACCTGCGGTTTCCCCGTCTGTTACTACTGCTGGAAACCACAACCTCATTTTTCGCAACAATGTCAATCTGGTCCAGTTTAGTCCGCGATAAAATACATGTGTGGCGACGAAGTTACTCCGAGAGCAACCCGGATTGAAATGCGGCATAGCACAAGGTTGCAATGATATTTGGTTTTCTTTACTTCTTGACCCTCCTTGCAAGGAAATGCCTCAGACATTTCAACTCCTTGGAGCCCTTCCCCGCAGGTTGACGCTCGCTTTTCGGCAAGGCTGGCTGACTGTACGCTGGGAGATCTGCCGGGACTTAAATTGAGCTGCCTGCAAAGGACCTTTCTTGTGGCAGCTGGCGGCTATATTCGTCGGTCCTTCCGCCTAATAAGTGATAGGCTACTTGTCAACAGGTTGGGAACATTTTCAAAGAATAACGGTGTAAGAACTAAATAGCTAACTATGAGCATCGTGAACATAAAATAGCTCACCTCAGGGACACCCAACGACCAGTGGCGTGAGAGCGCGCAACGCAGGTATATAAGGAAAATTCGAATGAAATAGATAAGGAAACATGGTCGCCCAATGGCGGGTACGCTGATACTAATATTAGCGCTGGATTTCCATTAACAATAACCAGTTTGTGCAACAGCCACACTGTCAACACACTGTGGTTTATGGCTACCAAAAATGACAACTTTCGATAAACTGGCCACATATTTTCTCTGGTCTCGGGTCCTCAAAATGATGCCTCCATAGGACCAGAAAAAACCCTGGGCCAAGTTGCCTTCTCCTCCTAAAATCAAAAGCCATACGGCGTTGCGCAAACTTTCTATTATATCTGGTGGGCAACAGGCTTCATCTTTAAACTAAAGAACTGCTGTCTGATCTGAATTATCTCTTGAACGTCCGAAGGGTTCATATTCATGTAGTGGTTGGTCGATGGATTGTCTGTGGGAGCGAGCCGGAGCTGACCGCAGGTCAGCGACGGCTCGCGACCGGGCCCCTCAGCACTGGATCACATTTTCAGTTTTCACAGGCGGAAGGTTGGTTCGAAAATGTTATGAAGTCCTAAGAACGGGTGGGATCGGAGCGGAGCTGTCTGAAAGACAGCGAAGCCCGATCATGGTTGCCCAATTGAGAAACTCCTCCTAGCCACCCAAAAAGGAAATTTAAGCGATTGTCCGTCAAAATCGGAAAACCGTTTAAATCTCCAAAAAATTGACCTCTGCCCGGATCGAACGGACGACCTTCTGGAAGCCGGTGTATTTCTGGAATCAGATGCTCTACCACTGAGCCAAGAGGTCCACTTTTGACTGAACACCAAAGCCTACTCCCAGAAAATGCTCTACCACTGAGCCAAGAGGTCCACTTTTGACTGAACACGCAAAGCCTACTCCCAGAAAATGCTCTACCACTGAGCCAAGAGGTCCACTTTTGACTGAACATGCAAAGCCTACTCCCAGAAAATGCTCTACCACTGAGCCAAGAGGTCCACTTTTGACTGAACACGCAAAGCCTACTCCCAGAAAATGCTCTACCACTGAGCCAAGAGGTCTCTGAGCTTTGAATTAAATGCACTAAGTCAACGTAGAGTTAGAGGTAAATGCACTAAGTCAACATCGTCAAGGATGGCAGTTAACCGACCAGGAAAATCCCAAGCAGTTTATTTCGACGTGATTTTGCTAAGTCAAACCCGAGAGAGCCAGTAAGACCCTGCAGAGTGCGGAGAGCAGAACAGAATTTCAGCCGATATTTGGGGAGAGGCAAAGACTCGTCATAATCAACACACAGTGATTTTCCTCGAGCTTTCTGGCATCATCCGATCCCTGTTCTCCAAGCATGTACCGGCCAAATCGACGCAAGTGCAGATTTATATTCAAATCAAGAATTTTACATTTCAATTTACTTCAGCCGCATGTTCAGCCGAGCTCTGAATGGGCACTCACTTCGTACCGTCGGTTCTCCATAGTCTTTCAGATATCTACACTGGAATTCTATTTCTCTCTCAAATATCCAAAGAACCGTGAATTTTCTCAGCCAAGGTCAATTCTTCTACGCCCCAAACAAAATGATCAGGCATTGCGCATTTGTTGCCTGATTTGGTTTCAGGCGTAGTGGTGTTTGGCTGTGCTTGGTTCCACCTCTTTCGTCCCATCACCCTAAAAGTCAAAACTAAAAGTCGAACCAAGTTGAATCGACGACTCGATGCGGAGCCTCTGCTCAACAAATCCGCCGGGCAGCCGAATATCCATCCTCGACACTTTGCCTGGCTTGATGCCGCTTGAACGTCTGACTTCGCTCGGACTTGGCCTTCAATTCACGGCTCGGCCTGGTTCCTTGACATCCTACCCTACTTAACAGGCACCAAATAATTTTCATTATGTTTCCAGCACCAAAGTCAATGGGCACCGCGGAACTCGGATTGACGGTTTTAGGATCGGCACCGTAACCGTATACTTAGTACCTACGGTATCATCCGTTTTACGGCGTCCCCTACTATCCCGTACAAAATGGAGGTTGACACGGGGAGGGAAGAAAAGATAATCTCTGCGCTGTTACTCTCTCGCTCTCAAGGATCATCCCCCAAGGAACCGCTGCATTTCCTTAGCCAGTATTTATTCGTCTGCGCCCCCGACCAACTCATCGACTTCATGATCACGATTTGTTACCTGATTTGGTCTCAGGGGGTATATTGGTCCCAGCCCTTTCCTTTTTTTTTTCTCGTGCTATTCTCTCTTGTACTAGTAGGATCGCGACCAATAACGTCGGTTTATATATCACGGCACAATCAAGGTATGAAATTATCAAATACAAAAAATAAAGGTAGCGACACTACCAAGGTGGTACCTCTACCGCCGCCGGCATATCAAGAATGAATCTCCGTTCGGGCACCAATAAAGAATGTCTCCGCCGGTGATATCGTGCTGTCAGCCGGAGGGCCACCTCCTACTAGAACCCCACACGCATCATGGATAACAACTGTCGGTTCGGTTATCTTCAGTAGATGACCTCGGATGCAACAGAGGAGCGGCGTACATTGTGAGCGGCGTTTGAATGACGATATACACCTCCAAAGAATGCCGCTGTGTGGTCCATCCCAGGGTTGGCCGTCAAGTATTTCGTCCCTCCGGGATGCTTGTCTATAAATGTCGAGACGTCGTGCACAAAGCCTGATATTAGAATCAGGGGACGTGTCTTCAACTCTGCTTTGACTGCAAGAGTCAGGTACACTCTGCTTGGGAGTTTTATCTGAACTCACAGTCGTCCCAAGCCATGATAGGTAACTCCTCAACGGGCAACGGCCACGCCAGGGAGTCTTGCAACTCTTTCAAGCTCTTGAGTTTCATTGTGAGTGCCCCTTTTGCTATTTCGTTGCTGGGGAATACCCGAAGATTGCTGGCCAACCCAAGATATTTGCACATGGCAATAAACCATTTAGTTGGGTCCCATTGGTACCACCGGTACGCGCTCCGGTAATCCATCGGGAATTGATGATGAAAATTGTGGTAGCCTTCCCCCATCGTCACAAAGGCTGTTCAAACCGATATCAGCAAAGAGTCTCACGGATTAAATGTACTTGCCTGACAAGAATGGTCCGAGGACTCAGGACATCGTCATATGTCGTCTCGCCGAGATAATGCGCAATAGAATTGACGGAAAAAATACCTGCAAGTCGGTGAATTTCAAAGGATCTAGACCAAATGTGTGCTACAGACGTGGTGAGCGACTGTGAGCCTAAGCGCGCATGAATAGCAAAGTCCTCCCTGAATGTCTCGTTTAGTATGCTGCAGCCTCTAAGTCGATGAGCCTACCAGAAATCGTTCCACAAGACGGGCACAAGGATAGGCACGGCATAACCAAAGATCCCAGCCAGAGGAAAATAATGACGATGACAAAACTGTACAAGCGGGTCGTTGGCCAGGTCTGTCACGTCCGCCGAACCTGTTCGTAATTTGGTCTTGAAAAGGATCCACCCAATATGTGTCCACATGAGACCCCGCTGTTGTGGAGTGAACTTCCTCCTCGCACTCTCGAGGGGAAACTGACCGTAGAATCGTAAGGATCTTTGTCTGTGTCGTCCTTCGTCTCTAGTCAGTCGTTTCTTTCCAACCATGGCTGTGACAAACCATCGATGATGGGCGCGATGAGCACGGGCCCACCAGTAACAAGAACTCTGGACTGAACTGGTGCCCCCAAGAATAAGGAATAGCTGCAAGGAAAAGATGCATTGTATGACCGATGCGACCACAGACGGTGAAATCCTGAATTTATCTGAGTATCTCCATCGATGTGGACACTGAATCTCAACCTGCGGTCACTCCTAGGAAGTTGTCAGTTCAAAATCTTCTCTAACCAAGAACATCTCACCGAATATTGTGAAAAAATAATAGCGATTGCAAAAATCAATGTCCGTCTATCCAATGGGACGAAAAACAGGCCGTAAAGTGCAGCCAGATGTGTGACGCAAGGACGGAAAGATTGAACCATCGCACTTGTTCTATGACAGGAAACCTTTCCGCTGTTGAGGTTCAACGGCCTTTCGAGTGCCCATAGGATAAGGGAATATATGGGCAGGTACTCGCACTGGTGAAGTCTTTTTGGAACTGCGTCTTAACGAATTCGCGTGCGAGTTCTGGAGCTATATTTCATCTTTGGTGTGACCTGTGGCTCGGCTTCGGCGAGTGCCTATTGGTTTATGTGCCACTTAAGATCTCCGCCGAACGGCGGCAAGAACAGAGTTCCGATTGGTGATAGGAAGGAACAGTGCAACGAGTAGCCACCTCAGTTCGCCGTTGCCAATGTCAGTACGGCTGATTCAAGGAAGATCTCTGGTCCTTCAATTCCCTGATTAGTCGCTGTACTATCACTGTCGGCGTCATCCGCCAACCGCCGATCCAGCAAACGTAAATAGCTCTTCTGGGAGCTAATGATTTATCAAAGACGAAGGAGATGGTTTATTCATCATGGTATACAGGTCTCCAACACGAATAGAAGAATCGACTCCGTTGAAGATCATGGCCCAATCGCGCGAGGTGGGCTCAGGCTTAATTTCATTTAATACACTGTAAATCAGTTAGTTACAATCATCAAGATACCTCGTCGACAGAAGTCTCAGGGCGGGGAGAACAGGGTCTGCAGAGTACGGATGTTCATTTGGCGGGGGAGGTTACCGAAAGTTTAGAAACACCGAGAAGTCGATTGTAGGTAGGTAGGTAGGTATATTCCGGCGCAGTCCTGTTAAAATATTGCAATTGGATAGCTCATCTGACTGGTGGAAGTCCTCGATTCGCATTTTGGTCGGAATGAGGGAGGGCAAGCAGGGGAAAAGTAAGGGCAGTTACTGTCTTTTTTGCGCCCGAGCGTTACGACAAACAAAGTTCGAAGTATATCCATCGTGCATCTGGTGAGAACATGCCAAGTAAGCAAGTACTGGGACATGCGAGTCGGAATGCCACAAGGGTGGAGACATATTCGACCAAGCATCCGTAGACCATCTCTCTTGACCAAACAGTGAGAACCCAACATCCTCACACGTCAAGAAGTTCACAGTTTGGGCAGAGAAGTTCTGGCACGGCCTCCGACTCGGAGTCTACTTCTGACTTCCTGGTTCAGCTTCCCACGACCTCTGGCGTAGCGTGCCGTAGCGTACCAGGAGCTCCTCTCCGGCAACGAGTGAAGACGACCGATGGGCGCTCGCATATATCGGTGTCCCGTATCTGAACGAGATCGCCGAGGCGTCGATGACGACTCCGGGGCGGGTTTCATCAGGACCTGAGGGCTAGAGGTATGTCGTCGGCTCGCATGTGAGGGTGTCTCGAATCTTTGGCAGTCTGTGAGTTGGGTGGCTTATTTCGCCACGGGATGACATACGTCGGTAACCTGGTACAAAAATCGGATTTACACATATCCTCTACGTGATGGTGAGCGTTGCGAAACGTGTCAAGTCCTCACGTGCAGGCCGCCAACTCGCACTTTCGGGGTAGCTGCGAACGACGCAGTCAACCCATTGGTGTCGATGCTGAGGACCAATGCATTTCTGGAAGCCGAGAAAGTGCGAGTCTAAGAGCCTGGGCTCAGCGGCGTCGTAGGAACGCAATCGGCCGTTATACGATCTTTCAGGGTTGGCTTGTGAGCATCCGAGTTACTGGGAGAGCGGTCCATGGACCGGTCCATTAGACCTCTTCTGAAACGCTGAGGTCCATTCTCAGGTGCATTAGGGAAGAGGTCTATGGTCCATTAAGAGGTCCATGGGCCGCATTCCCGGTGCATCCGACTCTGTGGTTGGTTTGGTGTTGACGCGAAT